ATTGGAGCGCGGAATGTATTGCACTGGAGTTTTTCTCGACGTTGAATAGGCGTTTGATCGAGTCTGGCATCCGGGATTGCTTTACAAACTCCATAAATCCCTCCCTCCTACATATTTTCTTATCATCAGTTCCTATCTTACTGATAGGCACTTCAAAGTAAATCACAATAATACCTATTCATCCCTCTTTTCTCAATCTGCCGGAGTTCCTCAAGGTAGTATCCTTGGTCCTATCCTTTACACAGTTTATACAGCTGACATCCCAACCCTTCCTAACACTGTTATTACCACGTATGCCGATGATACATGTGTCCTATCCGTTAATAATGACCCTACCATTGCATCCCAAACTCTTCAATCACACATCACAAGCCTTGAAGAATGGTGACAAAACTGGAGGATTAAAATAAATTCTAATAAATCCCATCAAATCACCTTTACCCTTCGACGTAAACCTATGACCTCATGTCCCACAGTATCCTTTAATAATACCCCACTTATCCCTGTTGAACAAATCCGATACCTTGGACTTCACTTGGAATCCTCATACCAGACTGAAACGACAAGAAACCGCTCGACGTTTCCGACTACTCCAACACTTACTAGACAAACGCTCTAAACTTCCCACTAATTACAAAAGACTCATATACTTGACTATAATAAGACCTATTTGGACTTACGGAGTTGAGCTATGGGGCTCCACTAAACCATCGAATTCCTCTCGCATCCAATCCTTACAATCCAAAATCCTTCGTAAAATCCTCAATGCTCCTTACTTTGTCACTAATAAAATAATCCATAAAGACCTCAATGTTCCATATGTTTCCGATTTGGCCAAATCCAGATACCTATCCTTCCATATAAACTTCATAACCATCCGAATCCTCTTGTTTCTAACCTTGCTTCCTCTTCGATTCCTGATAACCCTCCGAGGAGTCTGAAAAGAAGATGGCCTCGTGATCATCTCATTTAGACAAATTATTAGAGTGCTACTAATGGGTAGTTTCTCAACAAGCGTGTTTCATGTGATAATATTCCTCAGTACACATTTACTTGATGTATTCATACTAATACAGTTGTAAATATCATAATAAAAGTTTAAAAAAAACAAAAATCTCCACCCAGGAAGAAGTGATGTCCTAAGGAGTTGAGAAGAGAACTGAACTGGATATTGGATCTGGATCTGTTAGGAGGGCAATATGCTGATACTATGGTAACGGGAAAGGAGAAGGTTTTGATTACGATAGCGGTGGATTGTAGGAAATCTTGTGTCGGTAATGGGAGCTGGTGATGAGAAAGGAAGTGGTGCACAATAACAGCAGTACAGGCGTGTGCTTTACCGTCAGGATGGTCAGTACAGTATGTAATGTATTGAGGTATTTGTAAATGGTTGTTATTGCAGCAGGGCTTAACAGTTATCGGTTGAGTTCTTACCTCTAAGTAGAGATGGGCAAAATTGTACTCTGAGTAAAAAGTACAATTACAGAGTAATTTACTCAAATACTCGCCCGGTTCGAGTATCGAGTACTTCAATCACTACTCGACCTCATGATTGACGAGTACAAAAAGTAATCAGCTGTCCTCGTGAGTACTTTCTATTTTCAAATCTACTCAGCAATATTTTACTCTGAGTACTTTTCAAAGTAATCGAGTATTTCATTATAAAAATTACAGGAGTAGAATATTTAATATTTCTTCCATATTTAAGTCCTTTGTTATCTTATGGGGGTATAGTTTTTTAAAATAGTATCGATATTAATGTAAATCGATAAAATAAAGAATTATTTAAATATTTTGGATTTAATCAACTTTGGGGACCATTTTTTTTTTCTACACCACTTGACTTTTATGATAATGCTGTCGGATTTCAGATAGTGCCCCCGGGGCCCGACTTTTTGTAACATTTCGGATTATATCGATATCAGGGTCGACTCTTATATTTTAGGGGGCGCTTTTTATGAAAATGATACCGAATTTGAGATTGGGCCCCCGGGCCCCGACTTTTTTTAACTTTTTGGATTAAATCGATATCGGGGTCGACTATTATGTTTTGGGGAGCGCTATTTATGAAAATGATATCGAATTTCAGATAGTGCCCCGGGGCCCGACTTTTTGTAACATTTCGGATTATATCGATATCAGGGTCGATTCTTATGTTTTAGGGGGCGCTATTTATGAAAATTATATCGAATTTGAAATTGGGCCCCCCGGGGCCCGACTTTTTTTAACTTTTTGGATTAAATCGATATTGGGATCGACTATTATGTTTTGAGGGGCACTATTTATGAAAATGGTATCGAATTTGAGATTGGCCCCACCGGCCTCCGACTTTTATTAACTTTTTGGATTAAATTGATATTAGGGTCAACTCCTATGTTTTAGGGCGCGCTTTTTCTGAAAATGATATCGGATTACGAATCATTTTCATAAATTTTGAGATAGTGCCCCCGGGGCCCGACTTTTTGTAACCTTTCGGATTTAATCCATATCAATGTTGATTATGAGGTTTTAGGGGACACTTTTTATGAAAATGATGTCGGATTTTTTTTATAAAATGCGTCCCCTAAAACTTAATAGACGGCCCTGATATCGACTAAATCCAAAAAGTGAATCCACTGGGTGCAATCTCAAATCCGACAGTATTTTCATAAAAAGCGTCTTCCAAAACTTAATTGTCGACCCTGATATCTATTAAATCAGAAAAGTTACTGAATGTCGGCCTCCGGGGATCCAATCTCAAATCCGACATTATTTTCATAAAAAGCGCCCCCTAACACCTAATAATTGACTCTAATATCGATTTAATCCAAAAAGTTAAAAAAGTCGGGCCCCGGGGGGCCCAATCTCAAATTCGGTATAATTTTCATAAATAGCGCCCCCCAAAACACAATAGTCGACCCCGATATCGATTTAATCCAAAAAGTTAAAAAAAGTCGGGCCCCGGGAGGCCCAATCTCAAATTCGATATAATTTTCATAAATAGCGCCCCCCAAAACATAATAGTCGACCCCGATATCGATTTAATCCAAAAAGTTAAAAAAAGTCGGGCCCCGGGGGGCCCAATCTCAAATTCGATATAATTTTCATAAATAGCGCTCCCCAAAACACAATAGTCGACCCCGATATCGATTTAATCCAAAAAGTTAAAAAAAGTCGGGCCTCGGGGAGCCCAATCTCAAATTCGATATAATTTTCATAAATAGCGCCCCCCAAAACATAATAGTCGACCCCGATATCGATTTAATCCAAAAAGTTAAAAAAAGTCGGGCCCCGGGGGGCCCAATCTCAAATTCGATATAATTTTCATAAATAGCGCCCCCCAAAACATAATAGTCGACCCCGATATCGATTTAATCCAAAAAGTTAAAAAAAGTCGGGCCCGGGGGGCCCAATCTCAAATTCGATATAATTTTCATAAATAGCGCCCCCCAAAACATGATGGTTAGTCTAATATCGATTAATGGGGAGTTAGGGTTGGTCAGGTCGAATATGGCCGCTATTATTGAAGGAAATAAAAGAAAACATTTATACTCTTTATAATAATGACGGAGTAGTTGAAAAATAAAAAGTACTCTTTGTAGGAATTTGGCTGAGTACTTTCTGTAATTCGATATAACAGCGCGAGTATTTTCTGTACTTAACTAAATCATGATTAACGCAGCGTGAGTACTCTCAGTACTCGCCGATGTCAAGCCGAGTACAGAAACTACTCGATACTTTTTCCTAATAAAATTACTCAAATCATGAAAGTAACCGAGTACTGCCCATCTCTACCTCTAAGTAGCTGGGAAAATGACACACTATTGTTTACTATTCTGGAAGGCTCTCTCTCTCTTCTTGGTCTTCCTGCTTCATCTTGAATCCGATTTTTCTGGTGTCTGGATTTGAGATTCTTGTAAATTTGGCATCCTTTGTAGTTGGCCGGGTGTCCCTCCAGGCACATAGTGCACACACTGCAGGATCTTGTATCGATTTGGTGCACTCCACTGATTTGTGCTGTTCACTGCATTTCATGCAACGCGGCAGATGGTGACAATAAGTCTTCGTATGGCTATACGCCTGACAATTATGGCACTGCACGATTTCTCTCTTGGGGTATGGTTTCTCTACTTTCCCCATTGTGTAATATAATCTTGTGATATCATATATTTTCTCAATACCGGGTGATGGCTCCAGATCCACGAAAAATAAAGGTAGTGGAACTTTATTTTTTACTCCACGCTGTTCCTTATTCTCCTTCAGAACGTTGGTTACCTGACGTACTTTGAAACCAAGCGCCGCTAGTTCTTCTTTTATCACGTCAGTTGGTGTTGAGGAGTGTAAATTAAAATCGATAGTATTTAAAAAAACAAACAAAAAAACTATGCTTGCGTCAGCATAATTATAGACCGTTATACCGGAAAAACAAAAAAAAAAAAAAAAAAAAGAAAGAAATTAAATGGAAAGGTTGAATTCGTCTCGAAAAAGATTAAATTTGACTTGGAAAAAGTTGGATATGACATAGAAATGCGACACCAAAAATTCTGTAAAGTGATAAAAATTGATGTTGGACTGCATAACTATAAAATTTATAGTATTTTTCAGTATGTATTTTATAGTATGCCTTCAATGCCATGACGTTGAAGAGGACCTCAAGTTACTCGGAATAAGAAGATGGAATTACTCGGAGCGAGAGACAAGAGTGACTGGCTTGGAGTCCTTGAGTATGCCCAGGTCCTTGTAGGACCGTAGCGCCCAGCAGTAAGTAAGTATGCCTTTAATGACATAATAATTGGCCCTAATTTCGAATAGTTATAATAAATAAAAAGTTGAATTTGAATTAAACATAGAAAAAATTGAATTTGACAATACACTATATCAGAGTGGGATTCTGAATTAGATCAGAACTTCTTATGTAATATAGTTACATGTTTATATACATCCAAACTAGAATGTTTAACACTAGAAATAATGATCAAAATAATTGGCTAAAATAAAAAAGGGTTATAAAAGAAAACATGTTCAAGATAATTGAAAAATATATTGCACGTAAGACAAGAGTTTCTAAAGTTATATATACACACAGAAACATATGTACTTTTTTTCGTAATATTCTTGAAAGCAATTTTGTGGAATATAATTTTTCTTCTGTATCCTTAAGTGGCTTCGATTTCCGGCTTTTCTGAAACAAAAGAAATAATTACAATTGAAACGTATGATATTAAACCATGTATCGAGAAGAATGGAAAAATATATAGGATATAGTATTATTAATATAATGAAGTTAAATCCAAATATAGTGGGTATATAATAATTTATTGCGATACTTTATAAAAGATCATGAAAAAAACAAACCTAAACGTGGAAAAAGAAAAAATATATCACACCACATTCCTTGAAAAATTCAACAGAAATATAGAAATGATCACCGATTCAATAAACAAACTTTGCTAACATACATATAAAATCCCCTCACATCAATTTGGTTTCCACTGAGGACATTCCACAGTTCAACAAGGCCTTCGCGTTGATAATCACATATCCTCCGCACTTGAAAGCAAGCAATATTGCAACAGCGCCTTACTGGACGTAGCGCAAGCTTTCGACCGTGTGTGGCACGATGGCTTGTTCTTCAAACTCAAAATTCATTTACCCCAACCCTTATATCTTACCTTTCTAATCGTTCTTTCCAGGTACGCTGCGGCACAGAACTCTCCAACTATTAACCAAAAGAAGCTGGTGTTCCTCAAGGTAGCGTCTTGGGCACAGTTCTTTACATCCTCTTCACTGCTGACATCCCTACAAATCTCAATACTTTCCTGACATTTGCTGATGATGCCGCTATCCTTCCCTTCCACTCAGAGTCTGAAATGGCATCCCTAAACCTGCAAAGTCATCTTTCCCTAATTGAGCAGTGGTACAAGGATTGGTGTATTAAAGTAAATGAATCCAAGTGTAAGCATCCCGACTCCGATCACACTCCGACACAAATCCTGTCTGCCTATATTTTTAACTCTATACCTCTTCTCTTCTCAGACATAGTCCGGTACTTGGGCTTCCTCCTAAACAAGAGACTGACACGGAATCCTTATACCAGCCTTAAAAGACAAGAACTTAACCGACGATTTGGCCAGGTATATAGACTACTGAACAGAAACTCACATCTTTCAATTGAAAACAAACTACTAATATACAAGACCATACTGAAATCCATCTGGACCTATGGATTCGAACTGTGGCGAACAGCTAAATCTTCGAACATCAAACGCATTCAATCCAAAATCCTTCGAACAATAGTCAATGCTCCATACTACGTCACAAAATAAAACCCTACAGGATGATCTCAACATCCAATTTGTCCTTAACTTAATTCAGTCCAGATTATCAAACTTCCATCAAAAACATACCCATCATCCTAATCCATAAGAAAAATCCTCCTCCAACTCCAACCATGCATATAATCCCCCACGAAGGTTGAAACGACAATGGCTCCGAGACTTTTTGTAAATACGCTATTCGAGTTCTTGCAGTGACCAGCTTCTCCGCTCAAGTCCTGAGTGTATGTGACTTTAACGTTCTCACTCAGCCCCCATTGACTTTCAAACAGTGATGCGACTGGGAGAGAAGTCCTGCTTTCACATGAGAACGGCAAAGCATGGTTCAGCCTTCCCCAGGCTGAATGTAAATGTTGTACATAGAAATGAGTTTGACAAGTAAGGTTTTTTTTCTTTTTATTATCCTTTTAATGAATTTTTTATTTTTTCAAGTATTTTATAGTTGTGTTATTATTTCTATTTCTATTTCTATATATTTTTTACTTAGATGTTTTCTTCTTATTTATGTTTTCTCAATTTGTATATATTAGTATGAATGGACACATAGAGTGCATTGGGCAATGCACAATGCCCTTGATTGTATTATTATTATTCCAATAAAAATATTATTATTACCAAAACATATATAGCATTTCCAAGTCGAATTCAACCTTTTCCATTTTAAATTCAACTTTCATACAGCAATATATGGTGTGGTAGACGTAGTCTCCTCTGCATTGGAGCGAGGAATGTACTGTACGGGAATCTTTCTCGACGTTAAACAGGCGTTTGATTGAGTTTGGCACCCGGGACTGCTGTACAAACTCCGAAAATTCCTACCACCTACATATTTTCTTATCATCAGTTCCTATCTTACTGATAGGCACTTCAAAGTAAATCACAATAATACCTATTCATCCCTCTTTCCCCAGTCCGCTGGTGACATCCCTACCTATCCCAACACTGCCATCACCACATATGCCGATGACACATGTATCCTATCAGTAAATAATGACCCATCAATTGCATCCCAAATGCTTCAATCACACATCATAAATCTTGAAGAATGGTGTCAAAACTGGAGAATTAAAATAAACTCCAATAAATCCCACCAAATTACCTTTACCTTCGTCGTAAACCAACGACTTCCTGTCCTACAGTTTCCTTTAACAATACTCCACTTATCCCTGTTGAGCAAATCCGATACCTAGGACTCCACCTGGACAAACGACTAACTTGGAATCCTCATACTAGACTGAAACGACAAGAAACCGCTCGACGTTTCCGATTACTTCAGCACTTACTAGACAAACGCTCTAAACTTCCCATTAATTACAAGACTCATATACTTGACTATAATAAGACCTATTTGGACTTACGGAGTTGAGCTATGGGCTCCACTAAACCATCGAATTCCTCTCGCATCCAATCCTTACAATCCAAAATCCTTCGTAAAATCCTCAATGCTCCTTACTTTGTCACTAATAAAATTATCCATAAAGACCTTAATGTTCCTTATGTTTCAGATCTGGCCCAATCCAGATACCTATCCTTCCATAATAAACTTCAGAATCATCCCAACCCTCTCGTTTCTAACCTTGCTTCCTCTTCAATTCCTGATAACCCTCCGAGGCGTCTGAAAAGAAGATGGCCCCGTGATCTCCTAATGTAGTCATATCATTAGAGTGCTACCATTGGGTAGTTACTCAGCAAGTGTATTCATGTCATTATATCAATTATGTCCAAATTTACTAGATGTATTTATTTTATACAGTTGTAAATGTCATTAAGAAATAAAAAATAAATAAAATAAAAATTCAACTTTCGAATTTCTTTAAATTTTATATATTTTTAAAAATAAAGGCCACTTGCTAAATTATCGAAGTCATAGCTTTAGAAAAGAAAAAAAAACTGATAACGCGGTTGCATATCCATTTATTTTTACTTTTTAGATTTTTTTCGGTATAATGTTTCCATGTCATTCAGTTTTTCCGAGTCAAATTCAACCTTTTCCATTTCAAATTAAAGTGCAGATTTTTTGGAAGTTTTGATTTTTTTTTTCGAGATGAGGACCATTTTCCTATATAAGGGTCTATCATTATGCTCCCTTAAGTAGAGTTTTTAAAATACTGTCGATTTTATGTTAAACTTTCGGATATCGATTTATTGTACCTGTTCGGATTTATTCGATATAGTGGTTTAGTATTAAATTATCGTGTGCCTAGTTTTTGAAAATAATCTCCATTTTAAGATTACGCCACTGCGTTTCGAGTTATTCAAGTTTTTCGGATATATTCGATATAAGGGTGTATTCTTATATTTCCGAAGCCGTAGATTTTGAAAATGACCTCTATTTTAAAATTACTCCACTGCGTTCCGACTTATTTAAGTTTTTCGAATTTATTCGATATACGGGTGTATTCTTATATTTCTGGAACCGTAGATTTTGACCGCAATATTAAAAAGGAAAGTAAAATTCAATTAAAAAATAAGAACATAGATATTTTATTTATTTTGGCTGAAAAATAAATTAATCCTTCGTATTTTTTTAAAACTCGAATTATATGAAAAAAATCTGAAAAACTTAAACGCAGTGACGCAATCTTAAAATGGAGGTTATTTTCAAAACCTACTCATATGATAACTGACCCATACAAAATTAAAAATAATTAAATAAATAAAAAAGTTTAATTTGAAATGGAAAAGATTGAATTTGATTTGGAAAAAGTTTAATTTGATTTGGAAACTGTTGAATTTGAGTTGGAAAAGGTTGAAATTGACTTGGAAATGCTATATATACCTGAACAGCACCAGGTTCACAAACCTAAGATCAAATCAATCATGCCTTAGCGCTACATGTATGGTAAGATAAGATTTTATCGAAAGATAGAATGTGGTTCACATCATGAACCTGCAACAGTGAAATTCAATAAAAGTTTAATATAAACAAACAAACAATTGCGGTTCCAAAAGTTTTAATCTGTAATGATTAAAATTTACTTTTTATAGAATCAATATAACTATTATTATTAACTAGTGCTACATTCCAATCATTTAAGATTTGGCCAGCATTGATCATCAATTTTCTCTGTTAATTGCTGCTGCCTTCCAATTTTTGGTAGCAAACAGTTTACTTGCAGCAGCAGCCACAAAGATATAATTAATAACAGAAGACAATTTTTAATAAAATAGTGTAGTTTATCAGCTTCATATCAATTTCAAAAATACTTATGTTTCAACGGATCAGCAGCTTTATGACATTATAATTGAGCAGAGAATATTAAAGAAGTTACTAAATCTATTTAGTTAGAATGAGCATGTCCAAAACATTCAATAAATTTCAAATAGATAACTTATTTTCAACTCCATTCCAGTTTGAAACAGATACTACATTTCCCAACTTTTTTTTAATTTAGCACCTAAAAAGTCATCAGAAAGGTAATTTATATAGAGAAGGGTTTAATACAGAATCAGGTTCTTGAAATTAATAAGGATGAAAAAAATTAATTTGAATTAGTACAATAAACTATGATTTCATCAATATAGATACAACAGAGAATAGGTTCGAGTACATAGAGAAATTAAAGTATCTGGGGTCAACGAAAATTGAACCACTGAATATTAGAAGGATAGTGATTACTTGAATAGTGAAACTTGAGGTTTTTAATCAATTGATGTGACTTAGAGAATTTTTAACACGTTAGTTGCGGCTACGGTCCCCGGTGTCCGATAGCTTTATTTCACCTATAATGATTATTTATGTTTGTATCTATCTTTACATTAATCCAACTCCAATGATCATTTTAGAGACCTCACAAGATAGGCAAAATTCGTAACAATCCCGCAGAAGTCGAGCAGAATATCGGATCCCGGGCACCATTACCATAGCTAATGTGTTGATAAAACTTTTGTTATTTTCCCTCTGAAAAGTGGTAAAATTTAGGCTGTTAAAAGGCAAACAAAAATAATAATAAAAAATAAATAAACATCTGTGGTGGCAAAAAACATTTTATTTAGTAATAAAAAATTTAAATTGTAAAGATGAAAAACTTTTTTTAAAGTTTTTACCACACAGATACGTCAAGTGAAAACTATTGCACAGTATGCAAAACTATTATCATACAGCATAAAAACTGGCAATTTTATTCATTGGAATTATATTATGGAACACCTAATCCTCTTGGAAAATAACAAAATTGTACAATTATAAAGTAATATACAAGCATAAGTAAATAAATGAAAATATTGAATACACACACAGAGCTATGTTTACATATTTAACAATAAAATAGCATAAAATATTTCCAATATAACAAACTTTGTTTATACAAACATATGGAAAACAGATAGTTGAGGAGATGGGTACGGAATTCCAACACAAAAAGAACTAATGGTTAAAGGATTTTCTGAAAGAAGCAGTTCTATGAGAAGAATGTGCATGTTCATGGGACGGAATCTTGTGTTTAAAGAGTGGCAGAGGAACGAGGAGTAAACTAATTAAGAATATTAATAGGCTTTTTGGATTAAAATAAAAAAATAAATAAAATAAAAAAAAAATTATAATAAAATAAAAAATCTAGGAAGTATCGCTGTTGGAAAACAGGGTAAAGTAACTTTAAACAGCATCTTAACTAGAAACATGGGAACTATGATGATGAATCTAATTAAAAAATTCATTAGTCTCTTCAGTTTTATCTGCTACTGCATCATGCATATCAGGCAGCCATAATCAATCAAAGTAGGGAGAAATGATAGAGAAGGCTGGGTGCTGACTACTTTTAAGGGCCATAGAATTATGAAACCACAGGAACTGAAAAGGATATCAATGGATTTTTGGGTGAAAATATTATTATTACTCGAAAAGTTTTGATCAAAAATTCCAGAAAAATCCAAGTTTTCTAATCCATCCAACTTTTAAAAATCCAAGTTGCAGGCCTATAGAAGACAGCCAACCTCAGATAGAAGCAACAGCTTGATTAGCAATCAGGGTAACTTTCTCAACATACTTCACCACTACTACCACTGCAGCAGGTAGATGGGGTGATAAGTCGATGGGTCCTCCATATTTCCTTTACTCTTCGTGTGTGTATGAACAGCCTAGCTCAAAAACGAAAAATCTTAGGCAACTGAAATTGTGTATTTAAAGTTTGTACATAGGCCTGTTTGTACATAGGGATGTCACAGCAGCTTTTTCGTCAAAATTCGCTAACAGGAAGTGCCACTTTATATCATTGATTTTACACATTTTTACAATTTTCTCGAAAATGGCTTTAACAATAACTTCTGATATAATCACTTTTTTTATTTTAATATTATAGTTTTATCTCTGCTGGCTTTAATACCAGTGATGCGGTTGAGAGAGTAGCGCAGGGTTCTCCTGGAGTTCCCTCGCCTGATTTTATATAGGTATGCATGTGTTTTTTTTTTTGCTTAGTTTTAATTTTCTTATTTTTTAGGTTATTTTATTTTATTATCTATTGTATATACTTATGATTATTATTTTGTTTCTATTTATTTATTTTTTTTGTACATATAGTGTAAATGTCATCCTACCTCACTATAACCAATGTCCAAGAGACAGATTGTTGTAATACTCAATAAAGAAATAAAAAAAAAAAAAAAAAAAAAAAAAAAAAAAAAAAAAAAAAAAGAAATATTAAGTTATTGAAAAGATTGAGCGAAATGTTCATCATTGGGCAAATCAAATATAATAAATGAAGTTTGTATACTTCAAATAAATTTTTAGTTGTCCAAGATTATGAACTAATAAAGTATTTTTTTTTTATACCTCCAGACATTTTAGTGCAACATATATTTGGATCTGTATCTCTCAAAGGCTTCTATTATAGCTTGCCTGAAACAAAAACATAAATAATAATAATAATTAATAGCATGGAAATAATTGAGTTTGGTTCTAATTTAAGGATAGTTAGTCGGGGTGGGTGGGAGAGGAAGGTTATGGTCAAGTCCTGCATATATTATGTGGGAATTATATTTATTGGTTTCCTGTGTCAATCAACTTTGTAGGTCATCAGTAGGGCTAAAAGGAACAAGATACAAAAAAAAAAAAATGTTAAATTGGTACAAGGTATGAAGAGATAGGTTTTTAAAATTTTTAAGAAAGGGGTTTTTAATTAACTGTTTGACTTGTCTCAGCCCAGTGCATTCCCTCCACTCCTTAACAGCTCTTTTCCATATTCAATCAAGAACTTCTTTTCGTTGAACAGTAGGACTGGTGACTGTAGAAATAAGTATTACTACTCCCCATAGGGAGTAGTAACATTTTTAAACTACAAGCTAATTTAATTTATTTATATCCATTTTATCTTGTTTTGTTAACCATTTTTTTAAAAATATGTAAATACTGCAGTATCGTATATATATATATATATATATGTTTTATTCATAGTTTTAAGTGTTTTGTACATAGTTTTATTTGTTTTGTATATAGCTTCTTCACTTAAGGTTTTCTTTACTTCTTTAGTTTGTTTTTTAAATTGTATTTATTATTTCAAATTTTCAGGATAGAGGAAGTTTTTTTTTTTTTTTTTTTTTTTAGTACAGCTTGTTATTCTGAAGGGACTTTGTCCCAGAATCGAGTTGTTTTTCTATCTATCTATCTATATTATTAATAATACCATTATTATTTCTTTATCGCTATTACTAATTTTCTTAGTAGTGGCAAAATTTAATATTATTCAATAAAGAAATGTTTAATTTAAAAAAAATATATCATTACCACTCATAACTTTTCTTTCTATATTATTAAATTTTATTTAATATAATTGGCTTGGATTTTAAATTAATCTCCCTTTCCCAGGTTATTTTATATTTTATTTTATTCTTTTGTCATAATGGTTATTATTTATTATATTTTTTTGACATTATTAATTTATAATTTACTCTTATACAATATTTATTAACTATCTTTTATTTTGTTTTCTGTTATTCATCTGTCGTAACTTTATCAATATGTATAATATATCCCATCTCTAATACATTATACTAATAAAGTTATAATATATCATACTTTATCAGTATACATAATATATTATAATTCTATCAGTTTAAAATTCACAATTCGATATTGTTTGCATTTTAACTTATTATGTCATTTAATTATTACATCTCCAAGCTAAAGGATGTGTATATGTGTGGAGCCTATCAGGAGAATCTCAGAATACAGCTTGCGGAAGAATTGAGAAGCAGAAATGATACTCCTGATGAGCAGTGGATGGGAATATCCCGATTTCTGAAGACAGTAGCTGAAGAAACACTATGCCAGGCTGACATCTGGAGAAAGGATAAACTTAATGAGGGAATATTCATATCTCTAGGTAGATATATGTCTGTCTTTCAAGCTGAGATTCCAGCTATCGACTTCTGCGATCAATCATTTGTAAGGGAAGGTATTGTGAATAGATTGATAACAATATATACAGATAGTCAAGCAGCAATTGGGGCCCTGAATAGTTATAAAACTCCCTCAAAGTTGGTGTACGAATGTAAAGGCAATCTTAATCTTCTTTGCAGAACTAAAAAGGTGAGGATAGAATGGGTACATAGACACTCAAGCATTCCAGGAAATATGAAAGCTGATTACATTGATAGGAAAGGCTCTGCACAAGTGGTGGTTGCAGCAGAGCCCATCTGTGGAATAAGCCTTGGCTTTGCCAAAAAGCATATTAAGACAATTGTGGGTAATAAATTTATGCTACATTGGGAACAGACTAGGAAACAAACTCATTTTAAGTTGTTCCTAGTTGGGCCCAGTCACAAGAGAAGTAAGTCACTTCTTCTAATGAACAGGAGTACCATTAGGCGTGTGACAGGATTGTACATTGGTCACTGTCAATTAAATAAGCACCTTTTTAATTTGGGTATAAGTGATACCTCCACCTGCAGAATGTGTGGCCTGGAGGATGAAACGGCCTATCACATTATTTATAGATGTGATAATTTGGCTAGACTGCGATACTTTCACTTTGGATGTGATCGTATCACTGACCCTAAGCACTGCGAACTGATTGATCCTATAAGTATTAACAGGTTCCCAAAGGTATATAACCTGTTTTAATTGAGTCTAGGATGATGCACAATAGGCCTTCTTGAGGCCGCAGTGCACTCTTATGTCAGAAAAAAAAAATGCTAGGCCATCAAACACGCAGCATCAGTTCCCTCTAGTTTGAGGATGAATGCTTAACCGCCACTGTCAAGAAAAATGAGGCATATAGGAAGATGGTGTAGCAGCATAGAAGCAGAGAGGAGAAGAGAGTTCATCAGAGGAAAAATGTGGGAGAACAACAGGATGGAAGACATCGAATCCCTCAGAACTTCACAAGAGAGTCGACTCTTTTTTCAACAGATGAATGAGGGACGAACCGCATTCAAAGAGTTATCATGCAAGGACGAAGAAGGATGTCTTCTAAAAGATAAACAGAATAGCTTGGAGTGATGGGCTTCTCACTTCCAGAAGATACTCCGAAAAGAAGATGTGGAGGAAGTTGCTGAAACAGGCAGAGAAGAGGACATGGAGGATGAGGTTATCTTGACTCATCTGCTTATAACGTACTCTCAAATATCCTCTTTGAAAGATTGGTACCCCACATGGATAGAGAGATTGGGGAGTATCAGGCAGGATTTAAAAGCAGAAGATCCACTATGGACCAAATATTTACATTGAGATGTTAGAAAAATGCAAAGAGTATAAAATCGTAACTCCTCATCTCTTTGTCGATTTCAAATCTGCATATGACAGCGTTGCTCAACCAGAAATTTACCAGACCCTAAAAGAAATGAACTTCCCAATTAAATTAATGAGACTGGTTAAGATGACAATGGTGAGTTCAAAGTGTATGGTGTGTGTGGGCGTAAATCTTTCTGACCCCTTTCTCACAAATTGTGGTGTTAGCCAGGGAGACACTTTGGCCTGCCTCCTTAATAATATTGCAGGAAAGAACACGGTAAGGAATTCTGGAATTGAACTCTGATCAACACAGTTTACAGTCCAGCTTCTAGGATACACATATGATTTTGATGTTACTGCCAGATCGGAACAGGCCCTACGAGAATCATTCCTGGCTTTGGAAAACGCTTCTAGGGATCTTGCTTGACCTAGTTGTTAATGAGGCCAAGACGAAATACATGCGGATTGGAGGAACCCAACCAGGAGTTGGATATTTTGATGCAGGAGAGTACAGTTTTTAGAAGGTAAGCAGCTTCACCTCTTCACCTTCAGCTTCGGAAATCAACTCACAAAATGTCACTACCAAGGAAGTAAACAGAAGGATTGCAGCAGCCTACCGTTGCTAAACATTTTAAAAGTAGCAAGCTTTTTAATCGGACCAAGATCAAGCTCTATAAGACCCTGATCCACCCAGTTGTCACTTATAGCTCAGAGGCTTGAGCGTTCAAAAAGGCGGATGAGTCCAGGCTTCTTGTTTTTGAGAGGAGCATTCTTTGACAGATTTTCGGCCCTGTTAGACAGGATGAAGTATGGAGAAGAAGCAGGAATGCCAAACTAATGAGACCCTATGATATTGACATAGTAAAATTCGTGAAGTTCAGATGACTTCAATGGGCAGAATATGTGCAAAGGATGGTTACCAATGAGATCCCGAAAATGATCCTTACCGAAGAGCTCGACAGGAAGCGTTGAGTTAGATGTCCGAACATGCGATGGATGGACTCGGTCTCTTCTGACATGCAGGCCCTTCTTGGAGTCCGTAACAGGAGAGCTGCAGCAAACGACCGAACAAACTGGTGAAAACTTATGGAGGAGGCCCAGTCTCAGTGATGGGATGTTGCGCCACTTATGTTATGTTATGTCATTTAATTTACTCATTTCACTTCCTACTTGTCATTTTTCACTTCCTGCAATAGATCTGTATCTTGTATCTGGTATTTCATATTTAACATTCATTTTTACTTTATTTTATTTGTTTGTATCTTGTACTAATTTAAAATTAAATTTTTTTGTATCTTGTTTTCTTTTGGTCCTGATGATAACCTACAATGTAAATCGAAATACATGCAACCAATAAATATAGTTCCCATTTATTATATGTGTGACTTTTTTACTGCATCTTCAACTTTTGTGTAAAAATATGATTTAAGATGCTTTTTATGCATTCAAATTATTTATATTGAATTAATTTTTACCATATATTTCACATATTTTCATTACATATGAGACACTTCAGCAGTTACATTAATTTTTTAACTTTTGTAAAATGAAAAGACAGAGCTTGTTCAGGCACAACCTTGTTGATAATCTCTTTGTTTTATTGTGCCTTCTTCAGTAAAGGTTCAGTTATAAAATATATTGGAATAGAAAATAAGTTTATAGATATAGACAAAATATTACAATATATATAAATATATAACTATATTATGTAAGAAGTTCTTATCTAATCCAGAATTCCACCGTGAGACTTGTCTGTGGCTGTCTTGTCAAGTGAGGCTTAGATCTTGGTGAGTCGGCACGAAATAATAAAAAAAGCCCAAATAAAGATTCTTAGCAATATTTGGCTGTGGCCATATGGATATATTCAGCTGTTGTGGATCAGTAGGCTGTTTTATCCAAAAATTCTAGCTATTCACAAATGATATTTGCAGTCTACATATCACTCTTGGGGCCCTGTCACTATATACCACATGAATTACATATATTTAATCATAATCAGTTACGCTGAGGAATACAGAGGCATGCCTTTAATTAGAAGATATTCAGCTATCTCTCATAAATTTATCAAACTGATGAATAATCAACTTATTAAGAAACTTGATGTTGGTAAAGGTTATATTCCTATTAGAGTACGTAAAAGTAAGAAAATTAAATGTATACTTAGGTGTTAGAAAATAGTTAATAGGTGGATTTTTTTAGTTAAATTAATTAGTATTTCTAATGGTATGAAGATGGTTGACCATAGATTCTAATTTCAGAAGAAGTTAGCAGGGGGTGCGGCCAAAAAATACTTTATTATGTAACAGCATTTTTTGACCGTACCCCCGACTAACTCCTTCTGTAATTAGTATTTCATTGGGGATAAATTATCATATATGAAAATTAGAAGAAATTTTTCACCATTGCTTCCCTCTTTTTCAGTATGGAAATTTTAATCTAATACAACCATAGTGGCAGTTTGATGGTCAGAGAGATGATAGTTTTGATATCTCCTTAATGCAGTCTAATTGTTTATATTCTAAACTCTCTGTGTATTTAGTACAACCCAGGACTATTTAATTGATGCATTTTGCTGATTTATTACATTATCTACTTATTTTTCAATTTTAATTTAAGTCATTTAAAAAGTAAGAGCTTTATACTATTTCTATTTATCATATTCTTCTTAATTAAAATAGAGTATATTTCTGTGTATGCCAGGTGATATCTCCAGTGCCGACCTTGAGACATTTGGCACCCCCCGGACAATTCCAACATAGGTGCTCAATTCTCCTTTTCCAAAAAAACTATTTAAAATAAATTTCTTAAATTATATATTTTAACTGTATTACAATCACAGTGTTCCTGATTCATTTGATTTGTTAATAGGCTAAAATTAATTATCCCTTACAATTCACCAAATTAGTTAATTTGTTTGTTTCAGCAATCATTATCACAATATATGTTATTCTCTATTTATCTAGCTCAATCGTAGCATTAGTGATTCTATGTGTTTCTTTATCAATTTTAATGCTAAAATATTTTTTTCAATTTCATTTATATCAAGAATTATATCATGGATTCTAAATCTTTTAAATTGTTCAGTTCTTGAAAACAAAAAAATGATTCAATAGCTAAAAAAATAGCTTACGTTTATGATTACATTGATAATTTTAAAAAGGATAAATTTGTATTTCTTACCATTAGCCTCATGGTTTTGAATTTAGATATTTGTAATGAAGAATTTATCAATAATTATTGTAGGATGGTAACAGTTCGTGTAAATTGTGAGATGTTTATTTCTGAAGCAGAAAATATTCTAAGCATGTGTAGCAGTCCTTCACGTAGCTCACGCGCCTGCTATGAGACTGCGCCACCACCAGACACTTACCATTTGAAGATGAATTATTTTTTTAAAAATATTTTATGTGTAAAAATGTATTTTTTATTTTTAAATTTGTACTTTAAAAGTATGTTTATTTTATTAAATAAAGTTGAAGCTGTATAAAATCAACTGATCAAAAAAATACAATCAGTATATTTGGATACGACTCTCATACCCATGTTTTACATGAAGGCATGATCCTCCTAGCCCACAGGCTGGAAAATCAGACCTTGCCATCAGTTTGATCAATATATTCTATATAGACTTTTTGGTTCTGCATCAAACTGCCTTTTATTTGACAATGCTTCTATAACCTTTTTTCCTATTCTCTCTCCATACAAGGTCTGGATGCTCATCCCTCCGCCTGTACTCCTATATACTAAGGCTGGAGGCTCATCCCTTAGTCAAGAGTGATTTGGGTGCTCATCCGCCTGACACTTGAGGTCATCCTGTTTTAGCCTCTTCATTCATCCACTAAGTCATATAACCCTGATTTCAACACGCTCTGTCAAAGCCTTTTGATCACTGTACAGACTATACAATACCTCGGCACATGATTTATTTTATTACTATAAGGCTATTATGAATCTTAATTGCAGCCATTTTTGTCATTCTCTCTTCCACCAGGTTCTCAAATATAGTCGCCCCATCCATCAATAACCTCACTCAAGCTACCTAACTTTGATAGTATTCATTGACTGTTTTAGTCCTTCAAAAATGTATTCCTTTCCCTGGTCAACGGTAACACCATATTAATTCCCTATATGAAATTAACCTAGTTAAAGACATGCTTTTCGGCAAAATCATTATCTCTTACTAGCAGATTTTAACAGTACTTACCCACTTGCTAGGGAGTTTATTCTAGACCAATTCTATAGTAGCAATGATACTGCACAAGATATGTGAAAACATTGGTTGCACCCCCCTCACTGTAAATATACTTGAAAAGTTTACAAACTCAGCTTTTATTTCTTTGGGGAAAGAAAATCCACCTGTTATAACCTCTCACAGACCTCCTCTTGTCAGGATAGTTATACTGGGTACTACTATATCTGCTGTAAGTATAGTTTCTCTGTCTATCAACTGTCTTACTTTCATGAAAAAAATTATTAAAGGATTCTGATTAGATCCTGATCTTTGGATGATGTCCAAAGAGCAAAAATTAGACTAGTCAAAGAAATAAAGGAAAAGGAAACCAAGTATTTCAAAGAAGAAGAATGGATCATAAAAATAATTTTCTTTGGTATTAGCTGTTAAGCCTATTATATCCCTGCGACACCTTAGGTTGTAAAACTATTCTACAGCAAGAAACATGAGTGTGATAGAATTTTCTTTAAGGATAGCACTTACGTCAACCAATAAAATAAAGCTTCTAGAGATAAATATTTACTTTTAAACCTGATTTTAGATATAAAATATGTTTATAAAAATTATCAGCCTACCGAAATTCTTTCTGATGCAGAACAAATGCAGAAACATGCCCAGCATCAATAAAACGAACATCTGCTCCAGGCCAAATTTCAGAAAGGTCAGTGACACCATCTCTTGGGACATAACCATCATCACGAGCACACACACTTATAATGAGAGATGTATCAACAGGCACAGAAAAATTCTTGAGATGAGTACATTCATCCATGATCCCTCTCATAAAATTAATTGTTTCTTGTTTGTTAGAAGAAATAGAGGAGCGATCTAAAAATTAAAATATATAATCATTTACATCAAACCAAAAATATTATTTTAAACAGATCAGACGAATAAGATACTAAACCATTTTTATAATTTATTCTAATTAAATCACAAATTAGAAATTAGTTAAACTTAGACATTTTTATAATTTATTTTCTTTGTATCATAAACTCAGAATACTCTTAAGATTTAATTGACAACTAAGTAAATTGTTTCACTCTTAGGAATCATTATCTTGTGAGTCTTCAAGGGTCACTATAAAATGTTGATACTGATTAGTTTCAAATCCATACCTTTTTTAATTTTTTTTACTAAATCTCAACTGTTGTTGTTTTTTTTTTTTTTTTTGTTTTTGTAAAAAGGACTGAAATATTTCATGTTTTATCATTGTTAAAATAATGTTCCAAGTAATCTTTGTACAGTAGTAAAATGTCATCTTATTATAAGCAGCTTGAAAATCTGGTTCTGAATATTACTACCATTAGTTTCCTTATCTAGCATATCAACTGTTGCACTTCTTCAATGTTATGAGAACTTAATTTTATCCCAATTAGAGTTTTTTTTTACAATACAAGTGGATGTGAAAAAAAAAAAAAAACTGGCTTACAGGTAATAGGCAATTGCAAAAAAGGCTTTGTTAACTTCCAATAAAATTGAGGAATTTACATGCACCATAGACGATTTTTTCTATTCATTGCTTTTAAGTCTGGCTGGCCCATCTTGCTGAGGGTTAATTTACATGCCGTTATGTAAGTTTGTATGATGTTAATTGAGTTTAAAGCCCTTATGAACTTAAATCTTTCTTAACAAGTAAGAAAGAAGAGTTATCCTACAGATTACCAACCTATTCTAGCCTTAATGTGAAGTTCAATATTTATTATGTGGCTTGCACCCAAATATCAATACCTCTTACAAGGCAGAAACAGGTGCTGCATCTGACTTGATTGTCCTTGGGGTGCTGCCCCGACATGCTCAGCCAATACAGCCTGTAATCAGTATGTAAGAATTTGAGGATAAATACTATTCAAATTGAAAATTAATACCCTAAAATATTGATTTTAAAGTAAACATTAACTTCAGCCACTCCTTTATTCATTACGATAAAATGATATCTTAATTTTTGACCATACAGAAATGTTTTACTGACAATTTTCTCTTAGCCTATCTCTTAATTCCTTTTATCAAATACTAAAAAATCATAGAAATAGTAAAACACTACTAATAAGAGGAGTGCACAGTTCCACTACAGCTACAACTAGCAGTTGTAATAGCAGAATTTATAAAAAAAGTTAGGTAGCCTCCTTTTCTAATATTTAGACAATTTTTTTTTATTTATGTTGGTATTATAGTTCTTGCAGATCGTTTGCCACCTTAACCAGTCTTCTCCATCTTTGTATATCTTGGGTTATTTCTTTCTAGTTATCTACATACAGTTATATTGCATTAATATTCAGTTGATCTATCCATCTGGTTTTCGTCCCTCCATGTGGTTTATTGACTACTGTTGAGGCATCCATTGTTGTGTAGAGGCTTCCTGATGGATTGCTACGACCCACCCATCTTAACCTCCTTGCATTCATATCATGAGATATAGATTGATCAATTTCTGTAAGCAATTCTTTATTGGTCCTTCTCCTCCAAGTGTATTCCTCAAAGTACTATGATCGATCTGGTTATCGTGCAGAGGATTTTTCTCTCAAATCTTTTAATACTTCTTTCATGGGTGCTGGTTAGTGTTCAGGTATCATATCCGTGTACAAGAAATGGTTTTATCATAGCATTGTACTCCCTTAATTTGAGATTTTTTGGTTTTTTAACTTTTTTAAAATAGGGAAGAAAGCTATGTTTTTCTTTGTTATACGCTGTCTATTGCTGACTATTGGTAGAGCGCTAACTTGAACAATATCATATAAAATTCATGTCCCTGCCACAAGCGAGTTTGAACTTTGAAGGATTCATATAATTTTCCTTGTAATAGAACTTGATATTTAGGGTCACTTATACACACCTTCATCAATTTCTTCAACTTTCCGGAAACCCCCAGCTCAGTCATAATTTTTCAAAGACAGTTTCTGTCCATGGAATCATGGAAGATTTGATATCTACAGATAGGTGCACATTCTGGCCTACATTTAGACTAAATATTCTTGAGAATAATCATGAAGAAGAGAATAATTCGAAATTAATGAAGAAGTAAAGTAGTACATGCAGAATTGGCAGACATCTAGCCTTCATACTTTTATAACTTATGTACAAGGAATATCCATACTTCCAACTCAAAACTTTGTAGATTACAAATGAGACTGAAATGAGAAATAGTGAAAATATGAATATGAAGTATAGTATTAATAAAATAAGAAATTCAAAGAGAAGTTGGTTGGAGAGTTCAGAAAAAAAAGAAGTAAAAATAAGTAAAAAGTAATAATTTTTATTTTTGCTTATGTTTCCTTATGTTTCGGCCTTCATCAGGGCTAGGCCAGATAACAATAGGTATGAGAACACATTAACATTAAAAATAAAATAATAATACGTAACAGAGAGTTACGTATGAAATAAATAAGTTCTTCTCTGTTACTGTTATATTATTATTTTATTTTTAATGTTAATATGTTCTCATAACTATTGTTACCTGGTCAAGCCCTGATGAAGGCCTCAACTTTGCGCCGAAACGTCAGCAAAAATAAGAATAAAAATTGTTTATTTAATTATACTTTTTATTTTTTTGACTGAACACCATAACCAACTTCTCTTCAATTTTCACTACAGTTAACCTCAATCCACTATTAAAAAAAGAAATACTGATATTAAGATATTATCATTTTGATAAGATGTCTAGCCACCTTTATGTTTATTATTGATTTTTTGGAGCTGATAAGAACCATTCATTGACTCTTTCTGAATAGAACCAAAAATGGTACATATTAGCTTCACAAAATCAATAATAAACCTGAAAATGGTTTGAGATCTGGCTGTTGTAACAAGTACACAAATAAATAAGTAGTAAAGCCGAACTTATTTAAAAAATGTTTCTGTGATTACTTTAGTGCTTTTAATTTATAGGCCATGGTACAGACTCCTTTTTATCAATTTATTACATCAGCCTAAAACTTTTTGGATAGCTCATCTCATCATAACCTAAAACCTTTTATGAAAATTTTCAGAATTCAGGTGTTTTCAATCTGGAGATCGGCAAACTTTCTCTATTTAATTAGGTACTAAAAACTCATGAATATCCATTTGATAAACATCCATGAAGTTTTCCACTTGAATCATCTGGTAATTTGATCATAAAATCAAGAAAATAGGTGGCTTACAAAAATATTGGACATCACATTAGTTGTATTCTCAATATAAAAATAACGAGATTATTTGGGCCAAAAATTGGTCTAGTCAAAACATTAAGGTGCTCTAAAAAAAATATGTAGTTGATATAAGTATAAAATTTGGTATATAATCTTATCCACTTGAAAGAACTAAGCATACCAAATTCCATAAAAATCTGAGATGATGGGTGTCATAATCTGGATGATGGTATGGAATGATCCAGTCTCTTCTCTTCCTCCAGTCTATGTCGCTTTTCTCATAGGCTTTGACTCCTCTCAGTTCATCTCCTTGTTATCATTCTTTTTTCTGTTTTAGGCTCTCATAAATAGCTCTTACTAAACGTTCCTCTGATATTCTTGAGACACCAGAATAACCTGAGCCAATTTCCCTCAATAAGATCCTTGTTGATCTTACAACCAGCTTTGTGATTATTGTGGTGTTTTATAATTTGGTTTTGTATTATATTGCCCTCAACTCTTCTTAAAAAATGTTTTCCAAGGTCCAGAAATGGCTTTTAAACTTGGTAGTGAAAGCCAATTATTCCCAGGCATAAATCAGAATTGAAAGGAATATTTATGTGTACAAGCATTTTTATTTCCAATAGGAATTCTCTGATATAATTTATAAGATATGTATATTTATAATTTATAAAATAAATAAAATACAATACGATGACGATAAAATAAAATACGACAACGTTAATGAAAGCCGGGAAAGAACTAGGACTCGAAATAAACGTGGATAAAACAAAATATATGGTTAGCTGCAAAAATGGCAATACTACTGGTGATATCGATATAGATGGTAATATGTTTGAACAGGTAGATAAATTTAGGTATCTAGGTTCTACGATAACTAGAAAAAACGAAATTGAAGAAGAGATTAAGGTTAGACTGAAGGCGGGGAATGCTTGTTATTTTTCTGTGACAAAACTACTTAGTTCGCGCCTCTTGTCCCGAAACTTAAAAATTAGAATCTATAAAACAATTATCTTACCTACAGTTCTTTATGGATGCGAAACTTGGCCGCTTACATTAAGGGATGAGCAGCGTCTTAAGGTTTTTGAAAATAAGGTATTGCGTAGAATATTCGGACCGAAAAAGGATGAGTTAACCGGAGAGTTCAGACGGTTACACAACGCCGAATTGCGTGAGATGTATCCGGGTAATATAATTGATGTAATTTCATCGCGGCGAATCAAATGGGCTTGTAAAGTTGTTGGGCTTAGTAACGAGAGAATTCCTAAAAGGTTAATATTTGCTGTGCCGAATGGTAAGCGTCCGAGGGGTAGACCGAAGCGAAGATGGGAAGATTGCATTAAAGCCGATCTGAAGGGACTGGGTTTGGACGGCGAACGGTGGAGGGAGGTGTGTAACAAGCGATTGGTGGTGTCGGCATCGAACCTTCGGGTTCGCTAAGCCTTATTATTATTATTAAAATAAATAAATATACATACCTGTTATAACCATATAAGAACCAAGAAACCCCAAGAGCCTAAATTACACCTCAATTATTACAATTAAGTACCTATTAGCCATCATAAGTTTTTTCAATGGTTTCATGGGAATTAAACTTTAATTTATGATAAACAACCTTATTTAGATTATTAACTTTTTGAAATTTTTTATAATTATTATATTGAATCAATTTATGATTAATTTTGTACATACACTACTTTTAATCTCACAACCTTTATTTCACACTTATAACATTTTTTAAAACAGTCAAGAATTGTTATCTAACTCCAAGAGCCATTTTCAAAAATTTGTTTCTCATTCAAAAAGAGAAGTCATTAGTCACAAAAATGTAGTATTATATATATATATATATATATATATATATATATATATATATATATATATATATATTTCTTTTTTGTGATTAATGTTCTGTTTTCAAAAGAGAAAGTTTTTTTGCAAACAGCTCTTGGAGCTAAAACATTAAATAATAATTCTTGAATGTTTTAAAAAATGTTCTTAGTGTGAAATAAAAGGTTCTGAAAATAAAAGGGGTTTATCTAAATACTTAATCATAAATTGATTAAATATAATAATTAAATATTAATGTTTTGTTTTTGTATTTTTTAACATTATTGACTGTTTTGCACTAAAATTCTTTCATCCCTTCCAAAATTGATCTTAATTTCTACAGGGAAAACAATTAACAATATTTAAAACCTTGTCAAAGACACGAAACTTGGTTGTTTAAAATCTATTAAAAAACCAGTAATCAGTCTTTCACTCCTTGTCACACCCATTCATATGTCAATGCTGAATCTGTCCTGATAACATTTTACAATTGTTGCATGCAATTTAGCTTCCTTTAGTAGGCATAGTTTCTTGAAGATTAACCTTTTCTTTAAATGATAGCTGTTTTGCAAATCCATCGAAAGACAATTCATGATTTTTATTATTTAAATCTTATGTTATAAATATTTTTAAGTCTTATGTTTACAACCAAACTATATCTGTATGATGCTCTTAGCCTATACACAATTTTTCACCCTTTTTAATAGTATTACCATATTCCTTATAGGATCAGTTTAACAAGAAATAAAAGGGTTTTAAAGTTAAAGAGACAAGACTTTAAAAAAAAGTATGACAAACAAATTTAAATTTTCCATAAAACTTTTAAAAATCAGATGATGATTAATAAGATTTTTTTTTTGTAAAAATTGAGTTGTAGATTCAGCCTCTGAAGTTTACATACAGCCAGCCTTTAAAAATTTCATTAGGGATACCAAAATGTTTGAGATAGAGGATTAATAATTTCCATTGGTAATTTTGGGGTTGGCAAAATGAACCAATAGGCTCACTTATCAAACTTGTCACCCTACCATTACCAGTACTAAATAAATAATAAATGTCAAAATTCTAATAAAATAAGTTATTTTAAATCACATTTATTCAATGCAAATCCCTCAATATTTTATAAACAATCAAAATAAAATTCATTATATTAATCAAGAACTACAAATATTATACTACACAAACAAGATCACAAGACCATTAACCCTGCCCACTATAAATAATAAGTTAGCCATTTAACATTCAATCACAAACTTGTCACATTTAAAGTTCATAAGAAACTACACAAGGCCACCTATCTTCAATAATTATTTCCTGTAATGGTCCAAAAGTAGATTTATAAGAACAGTTGTAGGGACCCCTTACTTTCCTATTTTAAAATTCCTGACTTCCAATTTTAAGATAATAATGGTTTTAAAAATCTTAAACAATGATTTATTTGGTTTTTCCAATAATTTATAATTTTCATAAATAAACTATTAACTCTACTAATACTTCATTAATGTCACCTTGTATAAAAAAACAAGATTCATGGGGTAGAGGTTAAATCCAATTAATTTAGTCTTCCTTTCTTGAAATTAATATTCTATACTTTTGAACTCAGTCACATTTCTATTATAATTTCTAATTTTTGGTTCAGCTTTTAAACCTCAGTATCGAAACTCAATTAATCAATCCTTCCTAAGGTTAAATTGCTGTTCTAAAAGGTGGACATAATTCACAAATAATATTAAGATTAAAATCAGTATTACTGAAATCAATATAATTCTAACAATAATATAATTATCATAATAAATATAAAAAAACTTAAATAATCCATACAAAATATTCATTGATAATTTATAATCTCACCAATGTATTTAGGATGGAACACCTTCTCCAGCAATAATGAAAAATTAGTTAAGTCAGACACAGGCTCAGTATTCATTTTTAAAAATTTTGTCAACTTCTGATTTATTGGAAACAAAGCTGATTTGGAAACTGATATTTCTTTTTTTGTATCTAGACCAGGGCCATGTTCCTTTAAATGTAACATACTTTCAGGAAAGTTTTTAACAAACTCTTTTCCAGCTTGGAATGCATCCTACAAAACAATATTATTGAGTAATTTATTAATAATATTATGTCCTGACAAGAGGAGGCTACAGTCAGTGGGTCACCGATTTCAACCAAATTTTGTTTGGTGATACTTCATCGACGTTAGTAATGAAACAAAAATGCATATATTCAAGTCAGTATACCTACCAATCTTGACTTACGGAAGTGAAAGTTGGGTTATGCTGGACAAGCAGGCCAGTCGGGACAGATTCAGGAATGAACAGATAAGGGAGGATCTGGAGGTGGTGAAACTTAAGACTGCTTGAAAATCGACAACTGAAGTGGTTTGGCCACGTTTGTCAGATGGATGACGAAAGAGAAGCTTGGAAAGTGATGGAAGCTCGACCCACTGGGAGGAGACAGCGAGGCTGGCCCAGAATTTCCTACCAGGAGTGCATGCAGTGGATTGGAGGGAAAAGAGGGGAAACTCTCCAAGAGATGAGACAGATTGGACATGACCGCGAGGCATAGCTGCGCAGGATCGAGGCTCCTCGACACTAGGAATGGCATCAGAAGTATACAAAGAAGATACTTCATCGAAAAATATTTAAAATGTGTCCTGACATGTGTTCCAATGGACGCTAGGAGCTGAGGAAAAAAATGTTTTATATAATTCCAAACAAAATTGATGTTATTTATTTTTGCCAGGATTTTTATGTTATTATATATCAATAAATTTATTTTTTTTGCAAAGAATTGGAAAAAAATATTAAATATTGTATTAAATGAGTTATATGTGCCATAAATTACAAAAACCAATAGGTACTTCCAGTAAAGTAGGCCAATAAAGTAAATTTTTGTTAGGTAGATAGATTCATTTAAGACTTAGAGTCAGTAAAAACATTAGAACCATAGATATAAAATAAAAATTATTAAGAAGTTTTTATTAATTTGTAGTTTAAAAAAGGAATGAAATCTATACGTTATCAACGTGGGTTGGAAGAGCAGTAATTCAGCTTTCTAACGGTAGTACTAACGTTGAAGAAATCCTGGGAAGTTTTGGATGGTTTAATTATCGGCAGAAAAAAACATCCTCTAAGAAAATCAAGTATTAAATTTTGCAGTTTTTGATTTCTATCAAATTTTGTATTTAAGAGTTTCAAAGAACAATAAAAACTTGCTTTTTCCAAATAAAAATTTACTTGGCCTACTTTACAGGAAGCACCTTTTGGTTGTTGTAATTTATGATAAATTATAACTCATTTAATGCAATAGTCAATATTTTTTTCCAGTTTTGCACAAAAAAATAAATTGATTGATATGTAATAACCTAAACATCTGGGCAAAAATAAACAACATTAACATTGTTAGAAATTATATAAAATATTTGTTTTCTCATCTCGTAAGGCCCATTGGAATAAATGCCGGACATGTGTCCAATATTTTTCAATGTCGTATCACTGAAAAAAATTTGGTTGAAATCGGTGACCTACTGACTCTAGCCTCCCCTTGTAAGTAGAAAATTTGAATTAGTTTACTAAAGAGTTAAAATATTAGCCCTAATAGAAAGGGGAGAGGAAATTGGTACCTTATAAAATATGCAGTAGATTGGAAAATTTAATTTCTTTTGTTTCTGTCCATATAGAAAAAAAAATGTTTATGGTATCAAAATGTAACTTACAGACATTGAGTTAAATGAATCTTCGATGTCGCATGAAAAGAAGCACTCCATTCGTTTCCCTTGGCATAAATCTGAGCAGTAATGTTGGTTATTCCGGTTTTTATCTTCATGGAGGTGAATAGGAGTCATTCATACCATTTTTCTTTTTCTTTGTTGTTCGTTTTTTGAAAATTGTAGTTTCTAATTTACTTTATTTTTCTAGACAAATAGTGCTGCCACTTTCATTTCATTCTTAGTTCGACTCATACACATTTAGTTTGTTTCACTATTAGCAATATTTGGTATATCTCCGAACTTCTTTAATCTTCTTAAAAGTACTATTTTTTGTTCTTAATATTGTGAAGGATAAAGATCATTGTTTGTTCCGTTAGTACATTTGAGCCTACCAGCTTCAGAGTCATATCTCCAAGTAAAGTAAATCACCTGGAGCTGATTTAGATGGGCAGTTTGTTTTGGGTTCTCAAAATTAATGAAGCCGAGCAGTCTGTCGACATTACCTGCCCGACTGCATCGGACGAACCCTGCTGAAGAAAATAAGAAACTCTAAGATATAAGAAGGGAAATGGCAAGAGTTTAGAGCCAGATTCATAAGATGAGATCTGCTAATGCATTAAGTTTCCTTCTATTGTTAAATCATTAAATGGAGGAATAAAAGAAGTGAAGGCTCCCCGGCAAGAGGGGCATCAAAGATGAGGAGAAGAAAAGTGGCCATAAATGCAATTAATTTTTGTTGGTACCAAATGTGAAATACAACCCTGAGTAAATTCAAACATTTAGTTTTTCTTTAATTCTACCTGCAGGAAGCACCACAGCCCATACCCAACTTTCATCATTTTTTTATACGCTATCAAAATTTAGACTCACCAACTAACATTAATTATATCATTTTTGGTTTCCCTTTTTCTCCATACAGAGGATGATAAATATAGTTTAATTTCTGTTTTAACATTCATGTTGATTTTATTATTTCATACAGTCCACAACTTTCAAAACAAAGGTTTGAGAGCCTGCCCATTAAGATGGTGGCATTCATTCCTAAACAAGGGGTGTTCAGTAGTTTGCTGAGATTTACTTGAAATCTCATATTGAAGGAAGCATTATGTCAACCTATGGGTAGCAGATGATAAAATTTTGACTTTTTCACTCTAGCAGTAAGCTTTTTAAAACATAGTAGTTGGAATAGGGCCGTTGATAGCAAAAATAAGTGACATGGACATAAAAGGTAGTTAATTAAATATAATCAGGTAAGTTTTTTTTTTTTTTATCATCTCACTCATTTTCATCAGGCAAGTTTTTATTTTATTTTTGTCAGTTTCCTTTGAGTTACAAGAAAATCTTCAACTAATTTTTATTTCTGATTCAAATCATTAAAACCAGACAGAAATTACAATTATATCTTTTTCCCAATCAAGTGATGGCAAGGATCAGCATTTAAGGACAACTTAGCCAATTTTTCTAAACTCTTAATATGGTTTCATAGGCAGTCTTAAAGTCTACAAAATTTACCTATAGCAATGGATTTTTTGCACAGCAGATTGTAGTCAAACGTATCTAACAGCATGAAAATACATTAACTGAAGTCTATCTTACACAATCAATATTATTGAAGCAATAATATTCTATGTGGTATGTATTCCACATACCCCATAAAAGATCCCTTTCTTACAGAACAAAGATCACGGTGTATGAGAAAGTCCGATCTCCAAAGTTTCGGAAAAAAGGCTACTTGCACGGGAGAGAAGGGTTCTCTGCCAGATCTATGGTCCATTGTGCGAACACCGACTATGGAGAATTCACAAGTATAAAGAGCTGTGCGAGATGTATGCGAGGGCAGATTTGGTTTCAATTGTGAGGGGAAATCAGATCAGATGTTTGGGCTATGTGGCACATATGCCCAGAGACACAATTCCTGAACACTTGCTAGAGGATCGGCATGTTGGAAAATGTGACAGAGGAAGACCATGCCTGAGATGGCTGGACCAGGTAGAGGAATGCCTGAAAAGGATGGGAATTTGAAGATGGAGAATGACCGTAGCGCCATGAATAAATAAATAAATTTCACATATGTCAATATTATGATTATAATACTCCTCTCAGATGGGCAATATATTGACAAAATTTAATAATCACATAATATTACAAGGGAAGCTTAAGTTGCAATTTTTTTTCCTGCATAGATGATAAACAAGGTTTTTGAAAATTTTATTTTCAATAAAATATTTTATTGAATATAAAGTTCTAATCACAGTAAAATAAGTGTGTTCTGTAGGTAATATATATTGAAATAAATTAAACAGTGAAATACATGAATAAATATGTATAGGACAAAAAGTTATGTATTATTAAAAAACAATTTTTGTTACTTGAATAAAGAAAACAAACTTACACTTTCACGAATCTGCACCATTTTATATAATTCTGTCCTGAAAGCCTCATTTTCTTTATATTGAAATTCTAACATATCCCAATTGATTGCTCTACTCATTACTCCCTGAGATAAAAACAAACAAATACATTGTTTATATTATATGAATTAGTAAATTTTAGAATACAAAGGCATATTATATACTTTCATGATATCGGAACAGTAACATGAAAATTCATTTTATTATCAATTCAGTACTTAACCTTTTTGGTAATCGGACATATTGTTAACACGCATACATATTTATCTTTTTTTTCTTAGCATTTACACTTTTGAATGTTCATTGAATAAATGTTTATTTATTTTTTCTTTGTAAAAGATTGAGGGGTAATTGCCCCAGAAATTTAATTTATTGTATATAATTTAAATATTGTGATTTATTCGCGATGTATTATTGCTTATTAATACGCACCAGCCCTGCAGTAATATCTAGTCTTAAGGATTAGAACACCAGAATATTGCGATTAGACTGCCAGGGGTCAGTCAAGAACGGGTATTCTATCAGAGCAGATCTATGTAGTCTAGAGCCATTTGTTTATATAACTTAGGCTTTATATCTCCCCACCTCACGTTTTGCTCGAGCTCTGAACTCACCTCACCGGCCTAGCGCCATCTTATTCACCATAGCTGAGGGACTTTGGCAGCCATCAATCGAGATCGATATGTATATCGATCGTCCCACTATCGACTGCTTGACATCACCAGATGGTATATCGAGGTAACCTCATTGGAAGTAGGGTTACTTCATTCTCACTTGGAATTTTTGATAGACATTTTCTCACAGAAAGACATTTAATATTAATTTAATTTTTTGTTCTCGTAATTAACGTTTTATTTTTTAAGTTTATTTTTATTTATGTTTTAATCTTCATGGATAATTTTATTTATTGAATATTTCTTTTATCTCCAGTTTTAATTTTAGTTGGTTGAACCACAGTGTAAATTTTTTTATTTTTTGTTTTTCTATTTCAATTTTTTTATGTGCATAGCTATCTTTATTCAATATAATTTTGTAAACCTTTAAAAGGGATTAATTATTCTGTTTTCATCCTTAATTGATTTAATATATTTATATTTAATAGTTGTTTGATGTGCATGCCTTTTCAGTTTTTTACAGGTTTCATTTTTATTTCATTTCTTTCCATTTTAACACATTCGTTCTTATTTTTACTTTATATATATATCCCACCTTTCGAGGAAAATCCCAGGGGAAATGTTTGTATTTCAATTTTGAAATATTCCTAGCCCCAACACATATATATTTTTTAGACATAACCACACAAATATAATTAAGAATAATAAATTAGAATAGTTCATGTTGAATTAACTGTGAAGTCCTTGATAAATTACAATTAGTTACTTGATTTCTTTTATACAATATACAATACTTATTCAAATATACAAATCAAAATGATTATTCAATGTGCAGGAACAATTAAGGTTCATTAAATAAATACTTTAAAACAGATGTTCTTTCATTACTCCAAAGATTGGAACAGAGTTATTTTTAAAAACATGACCAGTGAGTACAGCACACTCATTCTAATAACTACGGCTTTTACTAAATATAGGGATCGGAAAGCAATGTTGTTTTCTTACATTAAATTCAAACACGTGAATTTCACAGAATTTTTTATTTTTAATCATTGATGGAATCACACTCATTATCAATAAAATTTTGCCATCTTTTGTGAAAATTTTCAATACAGAATCGATAAAAATCAATTGGTTTTTGAGCAAAATATATAGAGATGGCATTTTGGACATCACTCAAATTTGCAAATCTTTTGGTCCTTAGAAAGTGCTGAAACAATCCGAACAAATGGAAATCCAATGGGGTGACATTCTGATGAGTATGGTGGATGAGGCATTACCTCCTACCTCAATTCATTAATTTTTTTCAAGGTTCGTCTTAAGCAGTGCGATCTTGCATTTTTGTGTTGTAGAATAACGCCTTTTAGAATATTCCATCAAACAGACAAAAGGGTCTTTTCGGGGTGTAAACCGGGTTTAGCAGTAATTCATGGCGATACTTATGGAGAGATAAGGATTTGCTTTGACTTCTGCCTTTAACACGTCACTGTCTAACGTTGGTTCTCCTGATTGATGAGAGCCTGCAAGATTAAAATTATCGGATTTGAAAAACCACCTTTAGTACTTACGAACGAACATCTAATGCATTCGAATAAACATCACAAATGTTTTAGGTAGAAACTGTTGCGTTTCTACCCTTGCAAAACTCAAAAAGCTTATAATGCCAGATATGTACCTCTTCTGGAATTTGGCTGGCAATTTCATAAAAAATTTAAATATAATTATTTGCAACTAAAGAAGTTACTCTAACCTTAGAATGTCATTGCCACGATATAGATGTGCAAAATGAGCTAACAAATGACAGTCAAATTGTGACATACTCAGAAACGATACTACTTTCCAGTCCCCCTAATGCTACCAAGCCCAACCGCCGGTTGTTATTGCTTCTTAAAACAAACTACCTCAACCTTCAGACCTATCGCATATGGCAGATATATTCTCAGTAGGTTTTACTGATCTAATTTAAATTACTTCAGAACATTAAGAAAAAGAAAAGTAAATTTTATCTGAGATTTTACATATATGTATTAATTAACAATATAGATAATCTAATTTGATTTTCTTAACTTTAATTTAAAAAAACAACAACACAGAAAATGTGACATTTTGTTAGTTATATTTTTGTTAATCAAATACTTAGTATAATTCAATAAATCAATCCTCCACTGTTCCCATCACATCTATGCCGACGATTCCCAAATTTACCTTTCCTTCCCTCTCTCAGAGTTGTATGATGCGTTTGCCAAAATCTAAGAAGATCTATATCGTATCAGTGCCTGGGCATACATCAATGGATTAAGATTAAACACAGGCCATTGTCATTGGTTCCAAACCCTTCCCCAAATCCAATACCAACATTCCTATTCTGTATCTAAATAACAATCCCATCATCTTCAGCTCCTCAGTTAAAAATCTATGCATTTTCATTGACCAAACCCTCTCCTGGAATCACCATATTGCCCACATCTCTCAACGGTCAATTTGCACCCTTCAACTATTCCATCGCTTCCGCCATCTCCGACCTATACCCACACGTAGACTCCTAGTATCCTCCCTCATCTTCCCCCACCTCGATTACGGCTGCGTAGTGTCCGGCAGCCTCTCGTTGGAACTCGGGGACAGACTAAAAAGAATTATGAATAGCTTAGTAAGATTTGTCGAAGGGACCCCGAGACGTTCCCGTGTTTCTCACTATTACACCCAGTTAGGGTGGCTCTTTCCCTCCTTCAGAAGAGGATACTTCTTTGGCACATTCCTTTATTAAATAATCAAAAATCATCACCCGTTCTATGTATACAATCTCCTCCAATTTAAATCATCTGTCCACTCCCTCTCCACAAGATCTCGGCCTTCTGACCTTTACACCCCTTTCCATAGATCTGCTTCATTTCAACATTCCTTTATTGCCGCTCCTCCACCTTTTGGAATTCCACCCAACTTAAAATCCGCCATGCACCATCCTTATCCACATTCAAAACGCTCTTATTCCGATTCCTATTCACAATCTAATCAGGTGCTACTTAATTATGTATCATGTAACAAGGATCATTTTTTTTTTTCATACACCACTATTTTATTTTATCTTTCGTTTATTATTTGTGAATTGGAAATATTCAGTATCACTTTTGGCATAGCACTGTGAGGTGCTGCATAAAAAATAAAGAGATTGTTTGTTGTTTTTATCCATTTTTCATTTTTTCTATCTAAAAGATTGTGTATATTTTAGACATATTTCATTTCTTACATTCCTCAATTTGTATACATATATATCTTTTTCTATCTTAATCTCTGTGTTTTTCTTTTTTAGTTTACAATACCATTGCGTATTGTATAACATATATAAATAATTTATTTTCTTGAATTTTTTTGTTGTAATTGTTTTCTCATAAAATTAATTTAATGCCCCTTCCTAATTGTATTTACCTATTTATTGTTATTTTATATCTCGTATGCCGGGATAATGTAATATCTTCTGTCATTAATATATCTTTAATATATGTATATATTTTGTATGCTTTGTTGGGTTTTGTATGAGATGTTTGGGTTTTAACATAAGTCAATTTTTTTTATTTACGTACTTTTGATATTTTTTTCTTTTCTGGAGGTTTTGATTTTTCTTTCTATACATGTAATTATTTATTTATTTTTTTTCCAGTAAAATTATAAGTATAGTTAAGAAGATTTTATTTCATTTTTTAGTAATTTACATACTATTATTTAAGTTATTGTATATGTTGTTTGAATCTTTATTAAGTTAGTTTTTGGCCAGATATGTATTTTTTCTTTTGTAACTGTTCATTATTGTTATTCTAAGGGGACATCGTCCCAGAATAAAGTTTATTTTCAATTTCTATTTCTATTTTATTTCTAAATATGAAAAATGATATCAGCCAAATAGCCGTCTCTGGACATTCTGCAGCAGTTGGTTTGTTAAAGATAAATTTTGATGACTTTTTGGTGAGTTTTGGGGATTATCTCAGATATAATTTGGCAGATGTTAGCTTTTATGTGCCCAAACATGGCAGGTTTTTTAATATAGATGCGACTCTTAAGAAAATCCTACAAAAAGAAATCGAATGGTGTCAAATCACTTGATCTTGGCCGCCAGTTAACATCATGATTTGAAATAATGTGACCTATACTTTTCACGCAAAACATCTTATGTTGCTCTTGATGTGTGGCATGTTGTGACGTCTTACTGAAACAATGCCTTTCACATCAATATCCTCAATTTCATGCTAAAAATGTGGCAATAGCAACGATTGACTATCTCTGCCTGACCTTCATCGCTTTCAAAAAAGTAAGGCCCAATCAATTATGCCTCCTGATCACAATATGCACCACACAGTAACTTTTTGAGCATTCACTGGTGTCTTATATATTACGTGAGGATTTCTCTTACCCCAAATGTGGCTATTTTGTTTATTAATAGATCTAGATATGTGGAAGAGGGCTTCATTAGAGAATTAAAGAGTAAATCAGCATTAATTTTTGCTATCAGCTCTTGAGTTAACTGTATTTTATATGGGTATAGATTCAAATCCCTGTGCAAAGGAAACCATAAGAAAGGCCCAAATTCTGTGAACGATGGCGAATTGATAATTCCAGGTCTTCAGCCAGGCTATCAAGAGACCAGATTTCCACGTTATTGCACATTTTATTCGCTTGCATGTAAAAACCCCGGATCCGATTATCTATCCGTTTTAGGATGTGTAGAATAACATATTTAAATTTTATATTGCACGTTTCGCCGTTTTTGGCTTAAATTGTACGATTTTGATTTTTGTTGTATTTAATTGCACATTTTGTGCTAGATTAAATGATTTATAAATATAAAAATATATGTGTGTGTGTAAATATTTACTGTTTTATTTTACTATCTTATCTACTAAATTTATAATTTAAGAAAGAAAAATATGAGGAAGGTGAATGATTCTGTGATTGGTAAAGATTCAAATTTAACGTTATAAAATGAGGAAGTAAACACAAGTACAGACAGACTATTCAAGGAATAGAACTTGCCTGAAGTAATTTAATAGAAAAACTGCCTTCCTTGTTTTGGCTTGAATTCTCACTCTTTCTTTAGTCTTTCAGTATCCCTTTCAGATTTGAAGTGAATCGTAGACTATCATGAATTCAGTATCAGTAATATCCGATTTGACATTCATAAAATCACATTTGTCAAATTTTTCTCAAACATTACCTTAGTTAGAATCTCAAAATTTGTCACTTAATAAACAAATTGAAAGTATAGAAACTGTAGAAGAAATTCTTTAAAAAATCAATAGTTAAATAGGAAAAATTATATCTAAAACATTTACTCCATAATAGAAAAAAATACAGGTTACGCTCTTATAAAAAATATAACGACTGCATTAACTGTATAAATGTCAATGTTGACAAAGTGATTACTTGTTACAAAATGAGTCAAATTCAGAAGCTTAACATAAGATTTGATACAATTTTGATTTATTAATATTATAAATTAAACAAAATAAGATGATTTTTGCACGTTTTTAGGGGTAAATTAGACAATTTTATATATTTTTTGTTTTACTGCACGATTTTACACATTTTGAGTTTTTTAGATTTTTACTGCATGAAGATCCTGTCTCTAGATATCACTCACAAAAGCAATATTCTCAGCTGAACGCACCCTATGATGATGAACATGGCTTACTTAATCTCCAATGCTTCCAGATTCCTCAAACTTATAGCACAATGTTGTGAATTGTTCACTCAATGACATTTAAATTGATTATAATCTTCTCGTAAAAGTCTATGCACAGTTCTTGCAGAATTGTTATTTCAGTAGAACAACTGAACAATTTTCAAACGTTGAGAGTTAGTTAAGCGATTCTAATTGTAAATGTGCTGTTACAAACTAGTAGCTGATGTTTGAAACAAGCGCCAGTATTCACTACTAATTAATTTAGTATTGGCAACATATGAAATACAACATATATACGAAACTGGAATTGGATCAACCTTTATATAGATAATTGATCACTTAAAATTTTAAATCTAATTATGAAGTCCAAGACATTATACATAAAAATGGCACGGAATAAATATGTGGTGAATATGGACAGTCTAGATTATTACAAACAAATGAAATTAGATATAAATAAATATCAGCGTATTTACATATTTTAATCAATGAGCAATATACATAATATATAATTAACAGTGAAATAACAGTAAAATGAGGTTGATAACACTAAAATATGATAAGTTAGTTTTTACATACATTCGGAAAATTGATTGCTGAGGAGATGGAAAAAGTCCAGAAAGAGAATCTAGGTTCACCTGGTTTGACCTTGAATGGCAGACAATAACGAAAACCAAAAACCAGGCCTACAGAAGTATGATTCAGAGAAAAACCAGAAGCACAGTTGAGAAATACTGTGTAAAACAAAGAGAGGAAAAAAAAAACATCACCAGAAAAAGAAAAGGCTATATGAAAGAAAATAACTTGAGAATATAGAAATGTTGAGAGGAGAAAAATGATTGCAAGAATTCCATTAGAAAATAAATGATAGTAGAAAACCGTTCACACCAACACAGCTTGTCTACTTGAACAAGGAAGGCAAACTTCTAACGAATAAATGAAAATCATTCCTCTGGATTCTTAACTACGAAGAGGAAGATGAGACAGAAGATGAAACATCTAAAATAAATCAAATTACACCAGATGTAAAGCTCGAGAACCTCCAGATGATGAAGAAATAGAGGAAGCCATCCACAGATTAAAAATTCATAAAGCAACAGAAATTGATGGATTCCCAGCAGAATAATTCAAATATTGAAGCAAAGAACACATTAAAGTCCTTTAAGATATAATAATTACCATCCGGATATAAGAAGAGTTGCCATTAACCTGGAATAAAACTACAGTAATCCCAATCCAAAAAAAGAGAGACAGGAAGGTATCTAGCAATTATAGACGTATCTCCTTACTGCCCTCATCATATATTTTCCAATATTCTCTTTCAACGCATGTTATCCTATGCAGAGAAAAATCTTGGTTCTGAGGCATGGACCCTTTCAAAGAAAAATGAGGAAGAGATTCAAATTAGTGAAAGATTTTTTTTTCATAGTACATGAGGAAGAAAGAAAGTAGACAATGAATGGAGGAGAAGGAGCAACCAAGAGCTTTTAGATATATATCGAGAGCCCAATGTTGCTCAAGCCCTACGCACAGGAAGGTTAAATTGGGCTAGTCATGTGGCCTAAATGGGAGGCGAAGAAATGCTAAGGAAACTGTTAAGAGAACAGTTCTTTGGAAGATGACAAAGCTTTAATAGACTGATGGTATGGTATAGGACATTCGAATTATGCTCGGTATCAGGGACTGGATGGTGTCTGCTAGAGACAGAGACGTTTGGAGGAAGTTGGTTAAAAAGGGCAGGAGTTGTCACCGGGTAGTTGTTCTCAAGTAATAATAATGCAATACAAGCAGAGATCCAACAGAGTATTATGTCTGTAAATGAGTTCTATTTTGGACTAAAAAAAACATTTATGGAATAGGACAATCTCTCAGATAACTAAAATGCAAATATATAAGAACTTGATAAGGCTAATGCTTAAACATGTTTCTGAATGTAGGACATTATATAGTACATAGAAGGCTCTTCTCCTCAGGTTTGATATAAATACAAAAGAGGGTTGAATATAATTTAGGCAAGTCAATTAAGTACATGATTCAATTCAATAAACTGATAAAATGTATTAATATTTTCATACTTCTATATTTTATCTAAATCTATTTTGAAGCAAAAGAATTTAACCATTAAAAACATGTTACCTCTGTAAAGACACCAGAAGCTGTAGACCAAGACAAGCAAGGAACAAGGACCAAAGGAAATGGCCAATTAGTAGCAGCTAAGGATGCCATCTAAACAGGAAAATAAAAATATTATCACAACAGTTCCTAAAAAATAACAAAAAAAAAAAATATACTAAATATGTAACTATTTATAAATAATATTATAAATGTTAGCATGCATAGATATTAGTATGAAGTTTACAAAACATGATAAAAAAAATTACATGTACAGTGGTGCGAAAACGTCTTCGAACAAACCAATTTTTATAAAAATGATAAATGTTTCAATTTAAATGTGTTTCTAACTTCTTAATTGTAAGCTGCTTTGATCTTGCAGATATTATAGAAGCAATATATATTTAAATTATCACTATTTCCAATGAACAACAAGCCAAGGGACCAATCTGTTGTGATGACATTTTTTTATCCTCTGAATAATGTTATCTTACTGTTTAAATTTCACTACTTTGTCAACTACTTCGGTCTTTAATCTTTATAGTTAGTGTCAAGAGCCATTGTATAAACTCTAAAAAGTTGAGTGTAACAGTGAAAATTGTTCTAATTCTTCACTTTTTTTCCTGGTATTGTTGTTCAACTTAGCACCATAGGTGACAAGAACAACATCATCAGAAATAGACCAGCATATAACAAGAGCAAACAGAGCTTTTTTTTCTCTTTCAAAGGTATTGAAATTCCAAACAATCTCAAATTAAGAGTGTACAATGCTATGATAAAGCCTATTCTGAATTACAGCTGCAAGACAGATACTAACAAGTAAAAGTATTGAGAGAAAAATCCATCGCACAATAACCAGAACGATCTCATGATATATATAAAAGCAAAGAGGTCAAGGTCAAGATATGCAGGGCAGGTAGTTCGGAATAATCCATCTGGAAGTCTCTACACAACAGTGAATGCCTTAATTGGCAAAAGGCTAGATGGAAGGCCAAAAAACAAATGAATAGATTGAATTAACAAAGATGCAATAGAAATGCATATAAATAACTGGAAAGAAATAGACCTAGATAAGCAGAAATGAAGGATGATTAAGGCTGTAAAGATCTACAACATCTGTAATGCCAAAAGAAAAAAAAAAAATGATAGTTTTATTGTTTTCTATTTAATGTTACTGGTACTAGTGTGGGGAACTAGTCCGGCAAGTGGGCCTATTATGGTCCTTTTTGCCAACCCCTGCCAGCTACTTTGAGGTTGCCGCCGTGTACTTACCAGAGTGGGAATGTCATGTTCCATTTCCCGGGGCTGCAGAGAAATGAAAAGTAACTGACCCAGGTGGGAATCGAACCCACAACGTTCAGAACTGGGAACTCTAGGACCAATGCCCCAATGTGCTCGGTCATCCCATCCTCTCTCTTTAATGTTACTTTTAATTCAGAAAATAGCAAAATAAAATATTTTTGATCATTAAGCCCGCGTGGTATAAAAGAATGCTAAAATACCGTTCTGCATCCAGTTTTCCATCTATTCACAAGAGGTATCCAACTCCTGATCTATAAACACACACCCAAACCATTAAGCCACCTCCGTGATTTACTATAGGTTGCAAATATTCATCTGAAAATTCCACTCCAGATGTTCTCTAATATACTGCCTCCTTCTGGAAACAAACATTTCAAATTTTGATTCATCTCTATAATTTTTTTTTTATTATAATTCCGTCCAATTTTAGCATTCTTTTGCAAATTTAAGTCGCTTTCACTTGTTTAGAGATAAAACAAAAAAATGGCTTTCTTCTGGAAACACAACCTTTAAGGCCAAATAATAGGAGTTTCCTTCTGATCAAGGATGAAATTTGGGTCCTTGTGGCATTGGGTCCTTGGCATACATTGTCACCCACTATATCTCTGATACCATATTTTATTTCTGTATCTGACAACTTCTTCTTATTTATATATACTTATATTTATTTTTTATTTTCAACATGTTTTGTATCTTTTGTAGCCCTGAAGACGACCTGCAAAGCGGGTCGAAACGTCGGCAAAATTAAAATAATTAATATATTTTAATTTTTTATTTATTTGACCACATCCTCAACTAACTCCTTCTCATATTATAATTTTGTGTTGGTCAAAAATATATTTTGCTATTTTCTGAAATAAAAATAACATTAAATATAAAATAAAAAGGAATTATGAAATATGGAATGTTAAATTAAATTGACGGAAAAAAAGTGAAGAATTCCAATATTTGAACAATTTTCAGAATTACAATCAGCTTTCTGTGGTTTATACAACTGATCTTGCCGTTAACAATAAAGGGTAGACTGAAATGAATAACAAAGTAGTGAAATTTAATTTATGTTTCCCTGATTTAAAAATGTCTGATAAGTTTATTTTTCTGTTTACTATTTCTCTAGGCATTTTCCTCCTTGTTATGTGCGTCTTGTTGACTCCTTGCCAGTCCAGTTTCCTCCTGTTCTTGTTCTTTTCTTTTTCAAGTTATGTAAATTGACTATGATAACTAGCACATGTGCTGCATTAAATAATGAGGTGGGAATATTTTTATAGAACATTGTCATAATTCCGAAAATAAATTATTGACGATAAATATTCATTGTCATTGATTTACCGTTAGTTCTCTAAAACAGAAACGCATAAATATTTGCCGTTCATTTATAACACAAATAGAACATTTAGAGTTACATTTTGATGATTATTTAGTTGTAATTTTTCTTATGTTTATTTTATATTTTCTGTACATATGGTGTGAATGTAGTACATATTACCTCACTATAATTATTGTCTCTGTGATAGAATATTATATTATCCAATAAATACATTTGAAAAAAGAGTTATTGACTAATATCAATGTTTGTTTATACAGGGTGTCCCGTAAATAGAGGGAAATTTTTATAGGAGTGATAGCAGACCTCAAGGCCTCCAAAAAAGTTCATACAAGCAATGAGCCAATTCTCAGCAGAGAACTAGGAAATCCAAGTTTAGCGTTTTTTAAAGAAAGTCATGCTTTTCGTTGAATATTCAGAGGATAAAAAAATGTCAACATGAAGGATTGGTTCCTTGGCTTGTTTTTATTGAAAAAAATTCTAATTTAAATATATATTAAGGTTAAATCAGTTTACAATGGAGAAGATAAAAAAAAAATTAAATTGAAACATTCATTATTTTTATACAAATTCGGTTTGTTCATAGAATTTTTCACACCACAGTATATTAATTTGTGATTTTATTAAATTGTTAAAACTATAAAACAAAATTGGGAATTTGTATACATTTTCTATAAGGTCCTTCAAATATTATAGTAATACAAATTGATAAGACCAGACTTAGCGATTTCTTATTAACATCTTGGTCTACATATTTGGCATCTCACTGGGGGTTTGGAATGATTACCTTTTAAATGATTCGTTTGTTAATTAACCCAATAGCTTCACACGTCCATTATAATGGCCATAGCGTTAAAACATCAATTATATTTACCGGGTACAAGTATCGCAGTTCCGTCTTATGCAGATGTCTCCATTCTCTAGTTGATTCATCTTTCTTCGGACCAAATATTTTACGCAATACTCTATTCTCGAAAAATTTAAAGGGCTGTTTTTTACTTGAGCACAAGTGACCACGCTTCACATCTGTAAAGAACAGTAGGAAGTATAAAAGCCTTATAAATTCTTACTTTCTGTTTTCTGTACAGAAGTCGTGAAATAGCTATTTTGTGAAAGCCAAGCAACTAGTTTCCAGCTTTTAACCGCAAAATGGTTAGCTTAAATAAAAATTTTCTAAAATATATCTTAGAAAAAAAAAAGAAAAGAAATTCCTGTTAATATTGTTGTGTTGAAAAAAATGATGGATAGAAAAAGATGAAGTTAAATTATGTCTTATCTGGTGAGATGCCAATATAAAACCACCATAATTTAAGGATATTTTACAGACATTTAACAACAAAAGAAATAATTAGACCCTTGAAAATATTCTAGTGGAATCACTGAAAAGAGAGACAAATCAACAGCACCAAATATGAAAAAAAACATAGAAATTTCATTCAAGGCAAACGAAAAATGTCAGAGTAATTAAAAAGTGAATTTTTTTTACAAAAAAAGGATATATACTTAATAGCAGTATAAAGTAGATAAATAAAGTACCATTTATTGATACAAAAAACCTTCACATCAGAGATAGAAAAGCATATGATGAGATAGAGCTGTATGACTGAAACATATCAAAGATACTACTACCATAAGAATATATAAAGAAAGAAGGCAAAAAAAATAGTAATACAATACCACTTTCGCAAATTAAATATCCATGACAAGTAAAAAAACTTTGATATACATTACGATAAAATAACAAATATATACATACTCTTATACACTCTCTTTCTCTCTCACACCTATATATATATATATATATATATATATATATATAAATATTATTGACATAATTAGCCTGTTAAGTAGACAATGAACACACATAAGTACATGCATGTATACATATAATGTACAGATTTACTACAACACATAATAACACAAATGATCTCCCACATCATACACAATTTTAATTTCACACATCAAAAACTTTAACAGAAACGTAGAGAGGAGGTCGCCGTGGCCAGGTTAAGAATAGGACACACGAACCTAACCCATGTACATCTCATCACTAAGCAACCACCACCAAATTGTCAGCATTGCAATTGCTTTCTCACAGTCAACCATATTTTCCAAGAATGCCCTTATTATACTTCAAGCCTAAATCGATTGTCTTTAAAACCGGATATATCAGTGGTATTAAGCAACAACGAATCAAACATAAAAACAGTGATACAATTTCTTAAAATATATAGACTGTTAAATAAAATATAAAATAAATATAATTTTAATTGCTCAAATTGTTAATTGTTAATTTATTGTTCTTTCTTTTTTTAATATTTATTTTAATATAATTCATCTTTTATATGTTTTTAAATTTCTTTTTATTTATTACTATATGTATTGTTAATTATTAATTCTCCTCTAAAGAGTTTACAAATATAACCGACTCACAGGCGTTGATGACCCCAGGGTTTTACGCCTTAAAGCCTAAATAAACAAACAAACT